AAAAAAAAAAAAAAAGAGTAGTAGTTTCTGTTGTTATTGCAAGAGATCCCCTGAAAAAATGTATGAAATGTGAAGTGAATAAACATATGTGTTCTGTCATAATAGTAAGCAAATGCTTTCATGTATACTTTAATGAGATTTGTTAATGAACATTTAAAACAAAAAATGTGCCAAGAATAGTAAGAATTGGGAAAAAGAAGATTAACATGGAGATAAAGAGTGTACAAAAACACAAAAAACACCTGTCTATTGCCAGATCAAAAGACTCAAATCAAAAGGCTCCATCTCGATAATGTACAGTAAGAAGGCTTCAGAAATCCAAAGATACATTCACCCAAAAAAAAAAAAGAGCAAGGGTACAGCATATATTAACCAACAAAGCACCATCATCGATCAAGTCTTCTCAGCCGAAGTAAGATGGCCTAATTGCTCCGCGAGGTTACTCACACTCCTCGAGCTCCACCAATACGGCCCGTGATCTCCTGGTTTAGTCTCATTTTTCTTGCTCTCGTGAGTATCGTTCGAACCGGGATTTTCTGTGAGAAACTGCTCCCAAAACACGTCATTAACCCCCGTCTTCCCACTAGCCCGCTGTTGTTCCTCAGCCGTAGCCTCCGAATCAAAGCCCGTTTTAGGTTCTGAATTCATGTCGATTTCGGACATTTTTAACCCATCAGCATCATCTAAATTCAGCTGGGTGTACGATATGCACGGGCTGGGCCCACACTCCAACAACTCCAGTGAAGAATTCGTTTGGTCCGGGCCCGGGCTTTCTCCAATACCTGTCACCATTTTCTCCCAGAACACCATAGAGGACTCTAACCGCTCTATCATTTCCCTGTTCAAAGTCAAAAGGGCAGTTTCGTCCAAATTCTCAACCGAACCTTCTGCGTGCGTCTCATCGTGTAAATAAATGCTCCCTGGGAACCTTCTCTTTCGATCATGGGCTTCGACTGGCTGCATAAGATCAAAGGAAAAAGTGGGCCCGCGTAGAGTGCAGGCCAAGGAGGATAACATAGTCGAGTGGCTCTGTTCGACATTCTGTACACGATCGGTTAACAATCTCATTTGCGATTTGAGATCGTGTTGCTGTTCTATATATCTCTGAATTTCTTTGTTAAGTGCTTCTTTATCGGATCTCAGGCGGTTAATATCATCTTTATATTTTTTCCTTTCGGCTTCAGTTAACGGAGGTGGAGCGGGTATATTAGGTGCCGAATGGCTGTGAACAGGCTTTCGTCTGTAGATGTTCTTCATGAGATGGGGCTGACCCTTGACAAAATCATCGTTTGCAAATTCCCACTGTTCGGGGTCAACTTTTCTGAAACCCTGATGAAGCAAAACCGGTGTTTTTCAGACCAAAATATTTTTAGTGTTAAGTTTACAGCAGAAAAATATGATGAAGAGGAAGAAGAAGACTCACATATGTGTTGAGCTGCCTAATGAAGCTGGAGAAATTGTTGTGCTTAAAGAATCTCGGCAGAAGGTCTCTCGAAAATTCCGGAGGATTCCAGACGATGAAACTTCTATTATTTCGACTCCACGAAACGACAGTGTCCGTTGAAGGATCGTCTACCATCTCGTAAGTCTTTGCAAGAAACGGAGGTAATGAACTGGAGCTTGATGGAGCTTCTTCGGCCATTGTACAATTGACTCGTGCGCCCATAAAAGAACAAATCACCACTGATTCTGATTCGAGCTTCCACTATATTCGTCAAGCTCTATATTCTGATAAAAACAATCCAAAGATCCCATAAATCAAAATTCAACTTCACCAATACCGTGTAAAGATCCCACCTTTATTCATTTTTCAGAAAACTGTCCCAAACCCAAAACAATTCAACAACCCGCGATCGATCTCAACAAATCCAAACGACTCATCGTCAATTTAACATCAGTTTCTGCAAAATTTTCTCCACATCTCCGCAAGCCCTTTCAAAAGTCAATGCAGTCAAAAACCAAGTCAAACAAGCCAATCCAAACCCTCCCAGCAACAACACCCTGCATTTTATTTTGTTCGATCAAGAAAAGTTAACAACAAAAGACAGCAATCAGAATACAAATCACAAGAAACAACATTTTTTTAATGATAAATCACACATCAAAGGTTGTTCGAACAGTAATCTCCATCCTGAATCTTCAAGCAAAAGCATCAAAAATCACGAGAGACCCAAAAAAACAGGCCCTACCCACAATCAAACACACCACGCGCATTACAGATAGATGATAAGGATTCAAACGCGACAACAACTACTGATGAATTTTCATTTGGGCAATCACCTGGAGGGGCAAGAAATGGCTGCTGCGAATTTTTGAAAAGCTTCAACGGTGGGTTCTTCAGTTCGTGCAAATTAGGCTATCAGTTTGAAATTTTTTTGAACAAAATCGAAGGTTGGGGAAAGGGGGGTTTTTCTAGGGTTTTCAGATTCAAGAATTATCAAAATGTTTTCTACGAAAAAAAGGAAGTAATTTTCGTTTGAGAATAAATATCATCGTGCGGTACGGGTCTTGAAGGCCCCGGATATTTAAGTATTTATTGGCCCCTCAACTTTGGCATAATGCACAACTGCCCCAATAGTTGGTCAAACTTTGCAATTTTGATTCCCTTCGTTAGTAAACGGTAATCTGTAAAGTTATCTTACTCGCTATTAAAAAGAAAAAAGGTTGTGAATGCATAAAACCAAGACTCAGCTATCATTGTCAGGTGTGCGATCAAGATCGACCAACGGATTAATCGAGGCAACCGGATATTGTGGCTGGCTACAAAAAAATAAATAAATAAATAAAAAGGCATAATTGACAAAA